AGTACTGGCAATCATTTAGGCCCCGATATTACCTTTGGGCGATTACAGAAACCCTAAACCCTAAACCCCTAAACCCTAAACCCTAAACCGGGAAAGTCTTGGGCTTCAGTATGTCGAGAGGTTCTTGGGTATAGAACGCTACAGTGATGTTGGCTCTGCAAGGGTTTAGGGTTTAAGGTTTAGGGTTTAGGATTGAGGATTTGGGGTTTGGGGTTTAGGGTGTGGGTTTAGGGTTTAGGGTTTCGGGTGATATTGTACCCATAAGTGGCACAAGTGTAAAGTCTACAGTATAGGGACCATCTTGTACAGCACCTGTCAATTCCAAACCTGGTGCCAGGCTTCGGAGGGAGGGTTTGGACCTGGAGTTTGGCGTGTTGCTTTGGGGGATTTGGGCTTAGAGGTGGGGTTTGTTCTGTTCCACTTGTTACTACCCTAAGAAACACTCCCCCCAACACAGTAAACCCCAAATCCTGACATCAACATCCACGCACAAAAATCTCAGAAACCCAACAACCTGAACTTCGTGAAGCTAAACTCCTAAAAGCTGAAACCCTAAACCCCTAAAAGCCCAGACCCTAAACCCCTGAAGCCTAAACCCTAAACGCCAAACCCTAAAACCCTGGACTCTAAACCCCTAAACCCTAAACCCCTAAACCCTAAACTGTAAACCCCTAAAGCCCTGAACCCCTAAACCTCTAAAGCCCTAAACCCTAAACCCCTAAAGCCTAAACCCTGAACCCGAACCATCCCCCAAACCAAGGACCTCATCGCCGAAACCCCCAAAGCACAAGAGGCGAAAGCCTCAGGTCCATGGGGTTTGATCTTTGTTTAACTCTAAGGATGAAACCATGGGGCCCTAGTTTGGGCCCTTAACCCTGGGATCCTTTTTTTTGCCCTATAAGTACCCCTAAGGGTCCCTAGAAAGGCCTAAGGGTCCATATAACCCTAAACCCTAAACCCTAGACCCATACTTCTGACCTTAGGTTAAAGCTAGGGCGTCGTGCTTCTACTGCCGGCCGCGCTCCGGCTGTAGGGTTCAGGGTTCGTGGTTTAGGGTTTAGGGCTTAGGGATTTGGTGTTTAGGGTTTAGGATTTGGGGTTTAGTCTAGGACATTTTCAGGTGGGTCGTTACCGTTGTAGGAGCCTTTTAGAAGGTCTATATACCTTATGGAAGCCTTATAGAAGCCCTGTATTTCCGATCCTTTAATTTAGGGTTTCGGGTTGGGGGCAGGAGGCCTTAGTCTCGATGCGCCAGATGTCCAGCGCCTTGGCTCCACCACGGAGCCGTGCCGCTCCTGAACCACGGACTGTAAGATAGGGGCCTTAGAATCGGGTTTTGGTGGTTCCTTTCAAGGGTTCCTTAAAGGGCTCTAGGGCTTAACAAAGGGGCCTTAATAATT